GGTGCCGCGCAGGCGCAGAGGAGACCCCCCCTCCCTCAGGCCACGTGGGCAGCCCCAGGCAAGAGAGCAGCTAGGGAGCAGAGTGCGAAATCAAAGCTGTTAATGAAAGGGGATATTTAAATTAACGATGCATCCTTGAGCACAAACGCTTGGGAAACAAGGATGCAGGCTTGGTCACGCCGCCGTGTCACCTCTCCCGCGGTTTTCCTCAGTCCTACAGTTTAAGGGGCACCAGGCAACCTGTCCCACTGGAGGAGCTTGATGCCAATGACTCTCGCTCTGATAACAGAAGTTTTTAAAGGTTTTTCCTTGGCGTTGAAGCTCTACAAAGTGAGATGAGATAGGATATTTCAGTTGGAAGGGACCTACAATGATCATCTAGTCCAACTGCCTGACCACTTCAATGCCGACCAAAAGTTAAAGCATATTGTTATAATATTATTATTTACCTTCCCTTTCCAGAGAAAGGCAAACAGTTTCCTTTCCAGCTGTTTCATTCAAATTGGATTTTCACGGCTTCCATCTAATCTGTCCCATTTTTGCAGCCAGTGTGCAATCAGGTAACCACACCCACCACACCCCCTCCGATGGGGACAACAGCAGTGGAGCTCTTTGTAATAAAGTCACTAATGTATAGAAAAGACACTTTTTTCTTGCTTTTTCACCCAGCAGAGGAGGACTCAGAGCACCACAGCATGATGACAGAGAAGAACTCAACCAAAGAGCTTTCCACTGTAGTGCTAAGAGCAGCAAGTTCTGCTGCCCTTCCCGGGATGCTTCCGCACCAGCCTGTGCCTCACTCAGAGCTGGCCAGCACACCACAGCCAGCCTTTGGCTAGTTTTCCAGCTAGCATTAATTAAACACACCAGATCTCACCCCAAAGTTTCATGAATCGCTGACTGAGGCACCCAAAGAGGGCACTTCCCAAGTCTGGAAGATAACGGGTCACTGCAGCCACAAAGGGGTTTTGTTCCCTCTCTAGCACAGGCCTAACGAGTTGGACCTTCTAATCGCTGTTCGAAAGATAAAGTGGCAGAATTAGTTTATGCTTCTTAAATTGTTTCCTTTAATAGGAAGTGATGCTGTACTCTACCTTGTGCTTCTGAAACAAACATTTGTGTTCCAAAAATATACAGTGTACACATACTCTGTAGCTATAGATACAAACATTTACAAAGAAACAAGCAGGCTGGAGTGGACTAGCTTGAGAAATCTCACAGCTTTCTGGCCCTCCTACAGCAAGAGTAGCTGGGCACACTGTGCTGTAAACAGATCAGGGCTACTGAAAAACACGATTGAGAAAGATCATACCCTTGGCAATTATACGAAACAACGTGGATCAAAAAAATTTCCACACACTGCTTAGAGTTTCTGTTGCCTCTTCTCACCCCCTCCTTTTGTCCCTATGATCTGCCTTAGTATCTGCATCTCACACCCAAGTCAACTGCAGCCTACCCGTGTGTGTCTTCTCCGCTGCTGAAGGGCTGATCCCTCACACGGGCACTGCTCAGCTCTACACCAAAGAGGAAAATGCGGCTCCCGAGACATTTGGTTTCATCTGCAAGGCTTCCTCAGACTAAAGGAAACTGGGTACACTCTACAGTCTTAGCATTTTAGCGAATAGGTCGGTATGGGAATGTCATTCCTGGTATAAATGTTTGTACGGGGTGAGCCGGGAGCGCCGGGTGAGCCGGGAGCGCAGGGTGTGCGGCATGCGCGGGGTAGCCCAGAGGAGGAGTATGGATATGAGGATAAAATCCTGGTGGCAGAGCGCCATGGGTCGGTTGCTGTACTGGACCTGAAATCACCAGCTGGAGCAGGCTGTGGAGAGAAATTCAGACAGGCGTGAGGATTATTTAGAGAAGGCTTTTGTCATGGCTCTTCCCAGCCCACAAGGGCCTGGCTCTAAGGACAATTCATAACCAACACACAGCACCGGTGAGAGGCAAGAAGATAGTGATTCAATTTTGCTCTTTACAGCTTGCAGAAGACTTTTTTTTTAAACTTAGTTGCTCTTTGCAAAGAGGCAAGAAGCAAAGTGCAGTTTAGCTTAGGGTCAGGTAAAACAAGCGGGGAGTTGGGGACAGGACAACTCTGGGGTAGGTTCCACATTGTAATTTCATTTTCCCTTTCTGTGCATTTGCTCTAACACGGACTGGGCAAGATCGTCTATATGAGGTGAGTCACTGAAGTTTCCATTAGTCAAGAGTCCAGGGAAGAAGTAGCCAGCACTGTTTATCACTTTTACCTGCATGCTAAACTATATGTGAATAAAGGCCAACTTCAAGAAAGTAAACACAAATTTTTAGAGATTTTTGTCTCAACAGCCCTCAAGTGTGTGTCTTGGAATATGCATCAAAAGCAAAACAGGTGTAGAAAGGTCTCTTACTTGTTATGCGGTAGCCTGGAGCACACAGTTCTCAAGTCATCTGAAAGAGGACAAAAGACATAACAATAAGGGTAAAGCAGAAATTAGAGCTATTTTCCTCTCCATTCTCCTCCTAGAAGGTCAGATTACTGAAAAAGCTCCAGTCATCAACAGACCCAGAATCCCAATCTCAGGCCAAAAACTTTCATAAGAGAGAAAAATGTTTCTCCATCTCACCAGTCCTTACCTCAGCTTTCCACACCAGACACTTTATGTTACGTTCGACGTTTAACCTATGCTGTCATATGGGAAATGCAGCTTCATTTCAAGGCAGACCAAGCCTTAGTATAGAATTTGCAATACCAATATACTAACAAGAAGTAACTAAGACATAGGAAATACAAGGTTTGACTCTCCCCACTGAATACAGCATTTATGATGAGAAAGGCATCAGGGCAAAGCAAGGCAAAGCTTATCCAATACCTGTTTTGTCTTGGTTTCAGAGTTTTTAAACAATGATAGTGTAAAGAAAGGGTTATGTTTTTTTTGCTGAGGTCTATCAACTAAAATTGCACCTTTTTTGCAATCTCCAAACTTCTGCTAAAGCAAAATAGCTAGAACCAAGGTATTTAACAACATACTCTGTTGCGAGAGACCTTTCAGGAACAGCTTGAGAACAAACTCCTGCCTTTGTAGATAAACACACTCTCAAAACACTGAAATAACTGCAGCAGCTATTTTACTGAATTACCTTCCACTTTACAATAAGAGCAAGCGCTTGGAACGTACCAGGTAAACAGCCAAGAAAAAACACAGCTGAAATAAGCCATCATCTCAAAAAAACCCCCACTCTTCTGCTTGTTCTTGTTACATTCAGAACTACTTCATAAAAGATTAGAAAGAACATTGAGATTTGACCAGCAGCACTGGTTCAGCCAGGGCAAAAGCCTCAGGCACCTGCTTAGGGAAAGGTCAGTCTCTGCAGCCGCGGTCAGCACTAACTGTCCTGGCTGTCGGGGAGCTTTAAGACTTCTGGACACACTAAAAAAAAATTCACCTGTTTTCAAGAGAATGTATCAAGAAAACAGCCTGGCTGGCTGACCCCGCACTGCATTGATGCACTTCCCTTTTTCATCTCTGCAGGTCTTTCGGAAAGAAGTGGGTTTGGAAACAGGAAAGACGGACAAAAGCCACATTAGCAGGCTTCTTTACTAAGTTTAACTGAAACCATACACACTGTAATGGGGTCTCATGACAGGAGAGCTTGAGGCCCAGAAGTTCCAGATGAAGAGTTTTTGTTTGCTTTTCAAATTTCTTGTCTAGCACACCCATCCCATGAGTTTATCTGCTTCATGAACTCCTCCAGCAGGCAAACTCAGAGAAGTGAATTTGAAGCACAATTAAACAATGCTTTTTAAATAGCTACAAGCAATTCTGAGGGGGTCAAATTTGCCTCCATGCTGGACACCCAGATATAACCCCCTTGTGCACACTGCAAGGTCAAAGATCAGTTCTTCAGCTCTGCAAAGCAACGCACCAGTCACCTGCATCAATTATCTCTCCTTTCTTACTTTCCATCCAGTTATTTTTCCTGAACTATTTCCTGCACTCTTTCTTCCTAAAAGCAGCAAACTACTACTTCTGCTGTGAACACGTTGATCTTTACTCCCCTCACCCCAGAACTCCCTCTTACAACTTCTGCACACTGGAGAAGAAGAATCCCACGCCGGGGTCTCTGCCAGCCCCATCGACAACTTACCTCTAGTGCACAGGAGTGCTCCCGATGCCATGGCCACTTGCAAAGCCTGTGCCAGTCTGTCTAGAGCCAGTTCGATCTCTTTGGATGCATTAAGAGGATTGAGTTCGTCAGATAGTCTGTTAATTTCCTCAACGAGCGGAACCACGTGGTCAAAGGGTATTAGCCCCAGGCGCCCATAAAGGTTCTTCTCCGTTAAATGCCCCTGGAGCATCGTAAGAACCTGCAGGACACTTAGATGCAGTTTTGACTACAGCTGGTGGCAATCTCTGTCTTCTCCTGAAGTCGAGTCCTTGGCAATTTTGCTGGGAGGATGTCCATTTGAGAGAGAGGCTTTCTTCTTCCTTTTATAAGCCAAGGGGGCCTTCACACACCAACGGATCAGTCCCGTCAGCGGGGTGAGCTCTAAAAACCCTATTGGCAGGTTGGCTGCAATAGGAGTGTTTAGAAAGGTGATGAGGATCAAGCGGGGGTCCTCAAAGATCCAGGAAACAATCAACTCGAGCAGATCCGAAGGAGGGATGAGGTCATCTGAAGATAGGAAAGTTATTGTGGGGTAAGCTGAGCCTTGCACTGAAGCACAGGACAGCAGTCTTTAATTAATCTCTCACACAGACCCTTCCTGCACTGTCAGAATTACAATTTCAGAACCTCCCCAACTCTGCTTTTTTTTTTTCTTTTTTTTTCTTTTTTTTTCCAAGACACCAAAGGTAGATGCTCATTTGTTCCAGGGAAGACACAACCATGTTTCTGTCAACTTCACCGCCTCCACCTATTCTGGAGACACCACCAAACACCAGCATTTATCCCCCTTCCCAGCAAAGCTGCTTTTGTTATTTTTCTCTCTCCCACCCATTATCTGCTCACTTTTTCTCTAAACTCAGTCTCCATTTACCCCTTGCCACAGCAGATACAATGGGCAAGGGAACAGGAAAAACTTGTTGGCACTTCTTTCTCTTCACCCCAACCCTTCAACTCATTTCCTTTAAGACTTACCTAAACAAGCATGTCTTGTGGAAAAACATAACGCAACAACACAATCACATGACAGGTAAAGGATTATAAGATTATGTAAAGCTTCAAGTAAGAAGCAAAAAGTGGTCAGGAACTGCAGCTTGACTACAGACAAGAGAACCATTGACTTCAGAGTAATTGTGCATTGCGCCCCGTCACAGGGGCAGGCTACTGGACTGAGCAACCTACTTTTGTTGTGAGTTGTGTACAGTGCCAACAAAGGGCTCAGCACCAAACTATCTAGTCAGGTCTTTTGTACCTGAAATGATTCATAGGACAAATCATCTGGACTACAAATTACTTATGTGCACTGGATATAGAATCAGTATTTTCCAATTTCTAGCTTTTGTGAGACCTCTGAGTATCGCAGATACTGCTGTTTGTGTGATTGACTCCTGTCCTCAGGACATGGTGGAGACTGCCCAGTTATAGATTGCTCTTTGAAGACTGAGCTTCCTTTTCTTGTGTCACCAATAACTTCTCAAATAAACTAAGGAATTAAAAAAAATACTTCCTATAACTCATGTTATTTCCTTTCTGACACATCTTTTAATTAGCAGGATGAACTTCCAAGTCGTTGCACAAGACAAATACAAAATACTGAGGAAGAATATGCTATGAGCTCTACCAAATACTTTTTTAAAAAAAAAACAAGTGTAAGCCTGCACCTCTCTCACTAATGCCAAGCTGCTTATCTGGAGAAGACTGTGCAAAACATTTCCTTTACTGATAACAAATAGTATTTTCTTTTTTGGATTATATATGATGTTGGTATTTAGTGTATGGTTGTTCCCTAGTCTACCATGAGCTCTCTGTCACTCTCGCTAAGTACAGGTAAATCAATCTTATTTTAGCCACCTACACATTTCCAGTGTCTGAGCAACAACAACTCGAGACAGCTCATATTGCTAGCTGACCACACACACAGTTAAAGAGCGCACTGGAAGTACGCTGTTGATTGTGTTTCTCATCACTGCTCAACAGAAATCCTGCTCCAGCTTGCAAACATTCAGAATTTGTGTTTCTCCCCTTTTTGGAAGGAATTGGACTGACAGACAGCCCTGACTCTATCTGCTGCGTAGGTGACACACAAGAGGCAGGTCCAACTGCCCAGCCCAGGCAGATCAGCTTTCACTCCTAGAGCTGCTCAATCAATAAGGTCTCAGTGTCCTTTGCCTTCTGTGGAGGACGTTGCCCTTTGTGTCAGGCATTACCCGGCTGCTTCTTCAGCAAAGGCTCTCCCCTCAGCCACTGAGTGGTTATTTCTATTCCCGCCCCAGTGACAGATGATGCAACAGCCACATGCCTGAGCTGCTTCTGGCAATAATTACATGGTAACAAGCACCTTTAGAATTTCAGCAGTTAATTCACTTGCGACAGTTAATTTGTGTTGCATGATACTGCACTCTCTTTGAAAACCAGAGCTTGGAAACACCTACCTGAAGAGAGGTCGTACAGAGCTGTGACGGATGTAATGAACTGGCAGCAAAAGCGAGGACTGGCACTGAATATCTGCTTCAGCGTCTGGATGGACCCTGGCACCAAGTTGCAGTAGTCATCGACCAAGGCTCGGGCTAGCCTCACGCAGTACACAGCAGGGGTTCGCTGCAGGGGCGTGGGACGGCACACAAGCAAAAGCGGATTAAACCCAGTCACAGACAGTTCTACAGAGCTGACTTTAAAGTCTGCGTTGCCTAAACACTGTGCCTGCCCACATCACCCAGCCACTTTGCTGTTTCAACATTTGTGTTTCCACTTTCCCAAAACTAAAGTGTGCTTTCTCTCTCTCTCTGCATATCAAAGATCCACTCAGAAATAAAACTACTATTTCACAATATTAAAACAGATGGCGATATTTCATGTTTACAATATCTGTAGTTTAAAATTAAAACCTTTTACATCAGTATTTTGACTTAGATGGAGATTTTCTCACTGCTTCAGCAACACAGTTCTGTAGCTCAACTAGTTCAGTACCAGAACCAGTTCAGTTCAGTGACCTCTCAGTTACGCTTGACATTTTTAATGTAGAAAAAAGTCTGTGTAGTCATGTCACTTAAGAGCTGTGATCTGCAAAAAAACTACACCTTCTTCTGCTGTTCAGGTTACATCCCTTCCTCCTCTACCAAGGCTCACTAGATGGGAAAAGCGGGACCTCACAGAAACCGTACTGGTCTGCCTTCCCCCACCTTCCCCTCCCAGCACAGTGTTTCTGCTCTTCCCCTTCCGTAAAGCAGGAAACTTCTGCACATCCCGCAAATGCAGTGGAAACAAAGATGCACTTCCCAAGGTCTACAGTGGGGAATCTCAATGGGAAAGGAGGAGATATAAGAGATCCCTGACATACTGCAGTCATGGATATGAATACCAGACACAGGTATTTTGTGCCCAAGTCTCAAGAGAGAGGTTTGCCTCTTCTGCCATGCCCAAACTTGCACACAAGGGACAGTTTATTTCCCAAACTCCAGAGTTGGCTTCTTTGGGCAATGTGACCATTAACTGCCCTCGGTTTGTCCCCTGTGTTGGTGAAACTCCCCACTGATCCCTTTTGACATGCTGGGACTGGAGGGGGGGAGGGCAAATCAATAAAACTTTCACACACGGGAAAAAAAACAATTTCTTCTGCGAGTGCAGCACATGAACGGATTGGCAAAAGCTGTACCTTTATGCTGGAGCAAAGAACTGGACACAAGCACAGATGTGGGGTGAATGTAGCTGCAGCAGCCAGTTATTATATCAGCTGAAACTGCCACGGACAAGCAGCTGACTGCAACCAGCTGTCACCAACCGTTAGGTGACACTCTGCCTCTGTTCGTCCGCTACCCACTGCAACACACTCCCTCGCTCCTTCCCCGAGACTGCCCTGCCTGCACAGAAGGTGTACCTGCAGCCAGAAGGCAGCACACTCCAGAACAGGAACCCTGCACACAGCCACTGCCATGGAAACCAGTTTTCCTAGTAAAGCCATCCTGCTGTCATCTGCTTTGTTTCCTTGAGGGCTGAATAGAGATGAGAAAATGATCTGCCGGACTGAATCCTTGGTTTGCTCTTGGAAATAATTGCACATGATCTCAAGGAGCTGAAGTTCCTGAAGTGAATTCAATCTCTGAAAGAAAACAAAAGGAAAAGCTGCAAAATATACTGGGGCTCTTGAAGAATTAAGAGCTGCTTTGGTGAAAGACAGGGACAGTAAAGGCTGAGATTTTCCCTCAGGTGTTAGAAACTCAATCTTTGTGCACAGTACACATACTTAAACTTCCTGAACCACCACTGCATTTACCTAGTTACACTGAAAAGCTCTAGGTTGCATTTGAATACCTGGATACCCAAAGCTGGTGCTTGCTGTACCAGCAAGCACTGCCCACAAACTGAGACAAGACCTACAGCAACACTGGGGTGAAAAATATTCCCTCCCTCTCCAAATAACAGCAATAAGGGCATCACTGGGCAGCTGGGGGGGTCACAGCTAGGCCCAGCAGCCCACCAGGCCCCAGGCCCATGCACCCCAACATTCACCAGCACCTGTGGTTTCTGGTCACTGCTCTCTGGAAGGTCCCCATCGCAGCTCTAGCCCACACCCAGCCACCTAAAAACCCGGGTACAGCTCAGCTAGA